TTTACCATCTGAACTCCAGAGTAAACGATAAATGTACATTATGTTGACTAAGCCAGGGGCCCACTGTACAGTAGTACAGTAGTTTTAAGTTAACCTCCGGGTCATGGGTATTCTGAGGCACGCCTCTCTAGCGAAAGCCCGGAGTTTTAGCCATACAGTATGACGCAGGCCAGTAGCCAGGATTTGCCATGGGAGGTTCACTTCTTGAAAAATTCCAATGGGGGGGGGGGGGGTTACTTGTGCCAATGTTGGTCCAAAAATGGCCGAAATCACTTAAAAAGTGTTCAGAATGGTGAAAAACCACATGATTTTGAAAGATTTTATTTGCCGGGGGGGGGGGGGGGGTAAATCGAACCCCTCGAACCCCCCTGGATACGTGCCTGTGACGGGCCTGATATCTAGAGGGTGCTTGATAATGATCAGGGGTGCCGGGTAAACAAATTCTTATTCCCCGTCGAACATGAATACAATTATATTTGCATGGAGATGAAGGGCTGACGCAAGTGAAGTTAATTTGTTGTTGTATCATATTGGCTAAATCATAAGTAAATAAGTCCAGAAATACATGGACAAAATGTAATCAGAAAGGTAAACTAATTGGTATTATTTGTTTTGATTAATGATTATACATAACTAAAACGCTATGTTAGATGTCTGTAATCCCCCCCCCCCCCTCTCACCGAGGGCTATGCATTGTTTCAAGTGATATAAAATCTAGATTCGTAGAACATTAATAAAACAGCCTCGTCACGCCTGGAACATACCTGTACTACATATTTCGTACTTTCGCACATTAACAATTTATCACAAAATGTCATGTTGACCTCGATTTGACCCTTTTGACCTACCTTTTGAAAAACAATACTTTTTTGAAGCGCTAATTGAATATTAAAGGGTTGCAAAATACCAACAATATTGAAAAACAGATAAGTAATGATAAATCGCCGAGGGAATTCCAAATATCCAAATCCCTCCACCATTGCGACTATGTGTTATAATGGGCTTTTAATTGAAAGTCTGTTATAAAAAGGTTGCAGACATTAGGCTCTTTAAAAGTATGTCATATTGCTATTTATATATACCATTTGTCTTCTATAGCTTCTTAAGCATCAAATATCAAATCACAATAGTCCAGGGAAAAAATAATTGTGAATAATGGCAAAATGTTCTTTCTAATCTTAATGAAATTCACTTTTGGATACTAGTACAGGTACTTTTGAAAGTAGATTATTTGTTTGATTGAAAAAATTGAAATATTGTTTTTTTTATCAAATTAACATGGATTTTGTAATAAATTTTAGTAACAATAGCAATCAATAATTTGTAAATTATGTGCAGGATAGTACCCCGGACAGGTTGTATGATGCAGTCGTGTTTTTACTCTATATTCCCAATAGAACAACCATTCTTATTGAAATTTTCATATTTTATTCTGGAGACAATTTCCAACATGGAAAAAAATATTTTAATAAAATTCCTAATTTTATGATTTTGATAGGCTTTTTTTCAAAAACACCCCACTGTCAATAAAATACAGGTTTTTGCTTGAACAATTAACGTCATTCCAAAGATTGTCTAGCTATTCAATTTTTGGCCGCCTAAAGTCTTTCCAGATGTATTTGATGCCATATTAATTATGGCTGATTATTGTTTTTCATTTTTGTCATATTCAGTAGGCCTAATATTATTACAGTGCATTAGGCCATTGAAAAAATTGTCACTCTGGGTCACATTTCCTCTGATAACGCACCTTTTTCACCACTGGGGTTTTCCACAACCGTCACTCAGTAAGCAACCCTGTGGTACATAAATTGAACCATGCTGGTTTACCTGACAATTTCAAGATAATATCTAATTTGAAACAGCTGTATTAACATGTCTGAAGTATCTAATACCAGGAATACTTGAAGTTGGAGATTCGTAATGTTTTACTTCATTTTGGACAGTATTGAACAGTTCAATCGGGTTGAACTTGTGTCTGTGGACAAGTAGATTGACCTCCTCTATCTGGGCTTAATCGAGCGAAGGCTTCACAAAACGAAACCCAGAGCAACACGTTTTTTATTGGCCTAATGCACTTAAATAATATTGAATAGACTAAAGTGAATAACAATAATCAGCAATAATTATTATGCCAAAATATATATCTGGAAAGACTTTAGGCGGCCGAAAATTCAATAGCCAGACAATATTTGAAATGACGTTAACAGTTCAATTGTTCAAGCAAAAACCTGTTAATTATTGACTGTATTTTTTTTTGAAAAAATCCTGTCAAAATCATAAAATTGGAAATTTTGATAAAATATTTATTTTCCATGTTGGAAATTGTCTCTAGAATGAAACTTGAAAATATCAATAAATATGGTTGTTCCATTGCAAATACAGAGTAAAAACAAGACTGCATCATACAACCTGTCCGGGGTACTATGTAATCCGGGATATGCACACAGTGTGCCAATCCTGTATGTATCCAGGCGTCAGGATTCATACAGGATTGGCACACTGCGAGCGTATCCTGAAACAATCCAGGAGGCAGGATTCATACTGGATTTCTACCTGCTCCAATCCTGTATAAATTCTGACTCCTGGATACGTACAGGATATGTACATTGTGTGCCAATCCTGTATGTATCCAGGCGTCAGGATTCATACAGGATTGGCACACTGCGAGCGTATCCTGTTCGAATCCAGGGGCAGGATCTATACTGGATTCCTACATTCGCAAATCCTGTATAAATCCTGACACGGGATATGTACAGGATATGTACATTTTGTGCCAATCCTGTATGTATCCAGGCATCAGGATTCATACAGGATTGGCACACTGCGAACGTATCCTGTATGAATCCAGATGCAGGATCCATACTGGATTCCTACACGCGCCAATCCTGTATAAATCCTGACCTAGGATATGTACAGGATATGTACATTGTGTGCCAATCCTGTATGTATCCAGGCATCAGGATTCATACAGGATTGGCACACTGCGAGCGTATCTTGTATGAATCCAGATGCAGGATTCATACTGGATTCCTACACGCGCCAATCCTGTATAAATCCTGACACAGGATATGTACAGGATATGTACATTCGGTGCCAATCCTGTATGTATCCAGGCATCAGGATTCATACAGGTTTGGCACACTGGGTGCATATCCTGTATGTATCCTGACGTCAGGATTCGTTGTATTCGTACACATTTTTTGCTGTGTATACCAATACAGGCTTTGTATAAAAAACCTCCTGCCTCATACCTACCTACCCACGTACGTGGGACACGATACTGTCTTTGAAGGGTTCAATGTTAGGGATCTTAGTTTATTAAATCTTAGTTTATGATGAATTATAGATGCATTTGTAATGACCCTTGATAGCAAGATGCCACTACATCCCAGCTGGGTTCGATTCCCACTCGGGGCATCGAATTTAGCACACCTTCTTTCAATTTCTTTATCTGGCTTGTTGGACCTATGCTCGCAGTCGTTAGTTATTTATTCCCCTGGGGCGCCCTCGGGTCATTACACATTAAAATGCATCCATATCCCTTTATTTATGGATCCGCCATCTGTCTAGTGATAAAATAAAGCCGGAATTGTAGAAATGTTAATAATTTGAGCTATGTTGAGATTTAATAATCTTTAAAATTGAACCCTTCAATGACTGTATCATGTTCCACGTAGGTGGGTAGGTGGGAATGAGGTAGGAGGTTTTTTATACAAAGCCTACAATACAGGCATCAATAAATTACATACTTTACAGGTATAACACTCTAGCATAATGTTACAGATACAGGGTGTTCCATATGTTTCAGGAATGATGCTGTGTTTTATTGGTTTTCTCTTCAATCTAACTGAATTTTTGACACAATTTGTCTAAACATGTTTTGAATAAGTTGGGCAAGTTTCATATCGTGAAGTTCAGTAGTCTTGATTATATGGTTGCTATAGTAACCTAGGGGTAGGGTAGGTGGAGCAGGTGTAACAATGCGCAAAATATATGAAATATTTGTAAAAATATTTTTTTTTGTTCCAAGTGTCACTAAGTATTAGGTTGTCAGAGTTGGATCAAACTTGTCAGTAATTAAACAAAAATGAAGGTGGATTCCAAGAAAGTAAAAAAATGTCATCACCCTTGATCACATCACAATTTAAACACCTGCCATGTCATGAGTCACAAAGGAGAATAAACACAGGTCATTTTAGACGAGCGGCCATCTTGAAAAGTGAAAAAGTCATTAGCAAAGGAAAACCTTCGACTTAGGCAACACACATCAATCTGTGACAGGACATGACATGTGTGAATAACAGTTTTCTGCAACAGACACAATTAAACTCCTGATGAATGCACATTGGGGACTCAATGATGGTAACCTCTAGAGTGAATGAATTGTACAAGCGGTTTACATCTGGAAGGGAAACTGAGACCGATTATCCAAAATGTGGACATCCGAGAACAGTGAGAGCGCTAACTAATGCGGAAGGGACAGATGCTGGAATAATGATGATGGCTAATAAAGGGTGTGATAACATTTTTAATTTCCAGGCATCCACCTTTATTCTTTTTATTTTCCAACAAGTTTGATGCGACTATGACAAATTAATACTTTGAACACTTTATACAAAAACTACTATTTTTACAAAAATGTCATGTCATGTTTCTGCTCCACCTACCCTACCCCTAGGTTACTATAGCAACCATATTATTCAGTCTACTGAGTTTCATGATATGAAACTTTTCCAACTTATTCACAACATATTTGGACACATTTTGTCAAAAAATCAGCTAGATTGAAAAGAAAACCAATAAAATACAGCACCATTCCTGAAACATATGGAACACCCTGTACTTGAATGAATTAAGATCTATGTGTTTAAACAATCGTTATTTTCAAATTAATTTATCTTATACCACGACCCTGTCAAATATTTCAAACTATTACGAGGCACGATCTCTTACAATGGGGTCAGAATTTTAGAAACAAACAAGTTAAAAATGCTTACCTCGGTAGTAGCGATGCCACGAACCCATGCCGTATGATTGCGTCTGGCTTGTAGTTGGGAAATCAGGCCTCAAAGAATAACCATCGGCGACTTTCACGTATGGTAAAGGGTAAAATATTTGCGGTGATAGTACCTCTTTCATTAAATCTGAGTCAACATGCTGAAAGGAAAACAACCAATTGCAAACACCTAATAAAGTAATAATGGTTATCTTAGAGGTGGTTGGTCAATCAGGGTCTAAAAATATGATCGAGGAAATTTAAAGATATTATTGGACATATTGGACCGAATATTATTTTTCCAGTAAAACTGTGGTGGGGGAGTTGTGTCCTAATGGGTGTATGACCTCTGCTCTATTTAAAATGGCCGCCATTTTTCGTGAAAATGTTATCTTTGATAACCAAAATATTAGTCGACGGATTTGGTTTCAAAATGGCTGCCATTTATCGTAAAATTTGTAGTTTTAAATAACTCGAATACCAGTGAACTTTTACGAAGAATGGCGGCCATTTTTAAATTCAATCGCCACCTTCAAAATTCCTTCTTGACCAAACCACGCCTAACCATCGCGTAACCAGGCGTCACCGTACAGCGTCAAAATACAGTAACTATAATGAGGGTTTTAAAAAAATTAATAAGATGAAAATAAATACGATTTCGGGTGTAATAAAAACAGCATTCTCTTAGAAATGGTTTTAACTTTCTAATTATGATAAAAGTTTTTCGAGCACTGCTCGGTTTTTTTCTGACTGGATCGGCTAATCGACTAGAGAGAAAAATGTTGTTTTTTCACTTTTCGTCTGGTTATTATTTTCCCTGCCGTCTGAGAGTATGGATATTTTTTATGAGAATGTGTATTTGTTATCTGCACATTTTAGAACATAATCATTCACTGTATATATTGAAAAAAAGATCAAATCCGTACGGTGACAATTCCTTATTAGAATTTATGAAGAACATATGAGCTCAGTATTAACTTAAGATTCCATAAGTTTTAGTGTGGAATTCAAATGTTGTATCCCATTCAACATTGAAAAATATCATTTCTTATGGTTCCAAGAGGTAAAGACGTGTCAGATCTACATGTACATTATCACTGGTAAGTATCAAGCGAAGGTTACGGCCGTCACCTTCGCATTTAAGACGGCGGGCAGGAAGTATAAATTTCAATATTCTTAGTTTTCATGGAATAAACTATTTGAGAGTTGACGATATGCTTTGATATCATTTGAACTAATCCAAGCTTTTCTCATATGACTAACAAAGACAGCCTACAGCTATCTTCACCATCATCCTGACCATGCAATATATTGCATCTTTCATCCACACATGCAAGATGAGATTTACTAGTGACATCACTTGTTTAAAAACATCAATAATAGCAACAAATATACTGAGTTTTGGGTTTCACGATTCTTACCGTATCATACATTTCCAGTAACCTTCCATTAAGCGATGGAAGATATAGTTGAACTGTTTTCATTTCGTATAAGCTTAGTTTCATTTAGTTCATGAAAGCATAACGCAAACCAAGGAGGATTGGCTCCCAGAGTGCACCACCGATATTCTGTCCCATATATGGGTATGTCGTAATACAAAATTCGAATTCAAACAGCCGCCATTTTGTTCACTTCAACATTTAAATCGTGAATTTTGGTCTTATTTCCAAACGAAAAATTCCAAAACTCACAAGAAATGATCGAGATATTGGTTCGAATCTTTTGAACTGTTTATTTTGAATTTATAGTCGGTTTTAATTTCAGAAAATAACGACATTTCGACGTTTTCATTGTTGGAAAATATCGAGTTTCGATCCTGGGAGCCAATCCTCCTTGACGCAAACTATAAAGAAGTTTAATTCGAAGAAAAATGTATTTTATTGCGTTTGAGTCACGTAGTACGAATTAGCAAGAAAATGATTTCTATTTGGTCGTTTAACGTTATGAAAATAGAACGGTAATTGTGAATGCAGTATTACTGAGTGAACGGTGTATGTATTCGTGAATAAGATCACTTCGGCTCTAAGCGGCGAGATAAACGGACGTTAGTTACTACCAACTCATAATCGTCACCTTGAAAATAATACGGCCATGCAGGCACAAGCTTACTGAAGGAATTCTCGGAAACAAATCCCAACAAACGGAAAATAAAATGAAGCTAAGAATAATCACTCTAAACAGAAAAACTTTCTATCAATTCAAAGATAGACAACATAATTTGGAAGAAAAATGGGCACAAACAACAGTACATAGGCAACAAAAGAATTGACGAGAAAGCGGACCATGCATTTGCAGAACAAACGGCCATTTGTGAGGCATAGTTTAGAAAAGGGCAAGATGACCGCACAAACAATGATGGGGAAAATGAAGCAGACAGAGAAGCTCATCGATGGTTCAACAAAAGGAGGGGATTTATTACGGCTGCGGAATTATAGAAAGACAATCTGCTAAGTGGGTATTACAAGAACCCAAACTGCACAATTAGGGGCACATCAAAGACTAAAAAGATAAGTACTAATATACCTGAAAAGGAATTTGTTAATTATTGGGGATAGTTTTGAAGAACATGCTAGTTTTTGGCTTTAAATAGAACAAAATGATAAATGTAAACAACTAAGTTTAACATGTATATATGTTAAGATTTTGAAAAGGAAAAACCTATCAAGTAATTTTAAGAAGAATATATATGCTTGATGTAAAATGTAAAAATTTGTCTTAAAGGATGTAAAACGTAGTACCAATAATAGGAAACGGTAAAGCATGAACGATCTAATGAGGGGATTGTAATATACAGCTGTACATGATAAGGGGGAATCAGAATACCCATAATAAAGGGGGATTACCTATGAGAAAGCAATCGTAGTGTCACATAGATGGGGTATTGTAGTACCCATGATTAGTAAAGATTTAGTATCAATAATCAAGGGTATTGTAGTAAGCACAAAAGTAACAGTTTAGCTCTCAATATAATGGCAAGTTAGAATAATGACCCCTGAGAGTGGTACCTTGATAAAGGTGAGTGTGGTAATATTCATACTACACGAAACAGTCAAAACATGATAATATAGTACTCATATATTTTTATTGAAAGAAATATTTACTATTAGTTAAAGGAGGAAGCGAAATATGAATGTTAAGCATGTTAAGTACAAGGCTGAACTGAGACAGTAAATCAAAATGAAATAATGAAAGTTTGATAGTATTATTCTCCTTCAAATTATATATTATACGTTTAAGGATACTATATGAAGGATGTCATTGGTAAAATTGACTTGCCGTTTGCACAGAGCATAGTGGAAATGATGCACTGGATTGTTAAAATGTTCAGTACACAACAGTAATAATATGTATTTTGTCTTTGTTATTAAATGACCTTGAATATATCAAAATGCTATAATGGTTTTCAGAAAATAGCAATAGTAGTTTGTTAAGATTATATAAAAGATAACAGCTATCGGCAATGTTGACAGGTTGATGACAAAATGTTTATCTATAGATATCAAAGAAACTCAAAGTTGGGACTGCTACATGTATATTTAACAGTCTAAAAATGCAGAAACATAACAGTTTTGGTTTCAAAATTTGACAAAACTGAACGGCAAGGTCGTATCAGAGTCTCCAAGAAAAAGGCATTTGGTATCTTCAGATGCAAGAGATTCAGGTTGACGGTTATTCAGTGACATGTGAATCAAAAATTTGTTTCAAACATTGACATAAACTTAATGAAAATGAGTGGATCGAACTTAAAAAGGGTGTTCTGATGGTGGTTAGAATCATTTCTGCACTTGTTTCAGAGGAGAGTCTCTAAAATGGTTTACGGATAACAAATATTTTGAAATTATTGTGAATATAGGTATCCCAAAACCTCATTTGCAAAGTCTAGCTGCTAGAAAATTGGTAGATTACGATGACTGCGGAATCAAAGTTTTTTTGACAAATAAGATACAGTCAGTTATGTTAATCTTAGGTCACACTGTTGATCATTTTGAAAATCAAAACAAAAAGAAATTAATTTTGTCGACGCATTCTCATAGAACCGTGGCGCAGATTTAAGCAGAGTATTTTCAGCAGCAAAACTTAAGAAATGCAGTCAAATACATGTATATGCAATACACAAAAAGTTTGGGTACCGGTTGATAGTTTCAAAAATGGCAATCAGCTATTTCTTGGCCAAGTATACACAATGGTACAACATTTCGTCCCTTACAAACAAGTCCTTGAATACAATGGTTCATTACTTAACCGGGATTACAAATGGAGTCAACATTTCAAGAAACCTATTTCAGAGGTACGAATTATTTGCATTGAAAATATGGTGTTAGTGAAAGACTGAAATTTTACAAAATGTTAAATTGACAATGAAGAGATGTGAGAGAAAAATATAAGAGGCTGTTTAGATTGTAAAAAAAAGGCAAATCTTAAGGGAATTGTAGTGACCAAGATAAATGGAACTATAGTACTCATGAAAAGTGAAATTTATAAAACATAATGATAAAGAAAATTTGAAGCGCCCAAGATAGGGGGAATAGTACTAAACATGATACGGGAAATTGTAGTATAAAATGACCAGGGGAATTATAGTACCCATGATAAGAACATTTGTAGTGCCCACGATAAAGGGAATTGTAATACCCATGATAAGGGGAATTGTAATACCCATGATAAAGGGAATTGTAGTACCCATGATAAAGGGAATCATATTTTCATGATGAGGGGAATTGTAGTACCTATGATGAGGGGATTTGTAGTACACATGATAAGGAGAATGGTAGTATATTCATGATAAGTGGATTTATAGTACCTATGATAAGGAGAATTATAGAACTCAATATGAAGGGAATTGTAGAACCCATAAAGGTAACTTTTACTGCCCATGATAAAAGGGGAACTGTAGTATTCGAGAATTGTAATACCCATGATAAGGGGAATCATAAAGCAAATGATAAGGGGAATCGTAGTACCAAAGATAAGGGGAATTGTAGCACCAAAGATAAGGGGAATTGTAGTACCCAAGATGAGGGGAATTGTATAGTACCCATGATAAGATTGTAGTACTCAGTATTCGAGAATTGTAATACCCATGATAAGGGGAATCATAAAGCAAATGATAAGGGGAATTGTAGCACCAAAGATAAGGGGAATTGTAGCACCAAAGATAAGG